TCATGGGTCAGTCTGCCTCAGTAATGGTGGACTGCCTCGGTAACAGCGGACTGTCTCAGTAGTGTTGTACATCCTCAGTAATGATGGATGCCCTTCCCCTCACAGAGCTGGACTATCATGGGTTGAGGTGCACCTGCTGTGAAACTCTCAATCCCAAGCATTTGAGATTGCTGGTCTTTGTGCGGGTGGGACCCGCCAAGCCAGGTCACCTGGCTCCCTGCTTTCAGCCCCCTCTTTTTCAGTTGAATGGGCCACTCCATCCCAAGGTGTTCCAGGCACCAGTTGAAACGGCAGTCCAGATTTGTGTGAGTTTTTTGTGCAGAAACCCAGGGCACAGTGTAAACAAGCGTGCTGGAAACTTGTGGCACCTTTTGGCCTGGGAATCTCCTGGTCTGTGGGCAGAAAACCTGCAGAAGCACAGTTTCTAGCCAGAGTGCTGAGGTGGATGGAAAAGCCCCTGATGGCCTCTGCTGGGTAGGGAGGGTAGTCCTCTGGGGATTGCACTTCCGGAGTGAGGCAGTGCCCTACCCTGCCTTGGCTCACTCTTCTTGGGCCACACCCACTGTGCAAACAGTCCCAGTGAGATGCACCTGGTACCTCATCTGGAAATGCGATGATCACTCACCCTCTGTGCTGCTCTTGCTGGGAACTGCACTCCAGAGCTGTTCCTATTCAGCCACCTTCACTCCACTTTTTATTTATTATTATTATTTTTTACTTAAAATCTGTTTTATCTGATGTAAATATATCTAACACTTGCTTTTGGTTTTTCTTTGTGTGAAGTATTTTTATCCATTCCCTTTACTTTCAGTCTTGACCTAACTATATGCTGCTTAACAAAAAACTTACTTCATATGCTTCTTTACACATGAAGTAAGTTTTTTGTTAAGCAGCATATAGTCAGGTCAAGTTTGTTTTTTTAAAATCCATTCAGCCAATTTATCTCTTTTAAGCAGGGAATTTAATTCATTTTCATTCAAGTTACTATTTATAGGTGAGGACTTATTTCTGTCATTAATTGTTTTCTGGTTATTTTGTATATCATTTTTTCCTTTATTTCTCTTGTGTTGTTTATTATTGAAGTTTGGTGATTTTCTGTAGTGGTAACATTTGAAGTCTTTCTCTGTCTCATTTGTATCTCTGTGACTTTTACACTGCTAGTGAGTTTTATATTTTTGTGTGTTTACATGAATTTAGATATTGTGCTTTTGTTTCCAGATGTAGGACTCCCTTAGCCATCTCTGTTGGACTGTTCTAGTGATGATAAATTCCCTCAGTTTTTGCTTATCTGGGAAAGACTATTTCTCCTTCATTTTTGAAGGATAGCTTTGTTGTTTTCACTGACCATTTTTTTTTTAACTTTCAGCACTTTTAATATATCATTCCATTCTCTCCTGGCCTTTAAAGTTTCTGCTAAGAATTTGTGTTAGTCTGATGGGTATTCCCTTTTCTGTGATTTGACACTTTTCCCTTGCTGTTTTTAAGAGTTCTCTCTGTCTTTCACTTTCAACAGTTTGACTATAATGTGCATTTTTGAGTTCAGTCTGTCTGAGGTTCTTTGACTTTGTTGTGTCTAGATGTTTTTATCTCTGCAAGACTTGAGAATTTTTCATCTATGATTTTGTTAAATATGTTTTCTGTACCTTTGTCCATCTCTTCTTCTTATGGAATATTACAATTTGAATTATTCGGTCACTTTATGGTGTCCCACATGTCACATAGGGTTTCTATTATTTTTTACTCTTTTTCTTTCTTCCTTTTCTTTTTTTTGTCTGAGTTATTTGAAAAGATTTGTCTTCAGATTCAGAAAGTCTTTCTTCTGCTTAACCTAGCCTATTATTGAAGTTATCAATTGTATTTTTATTTGTTGAATTCTTTCATTCCACAATTTCTGGTTTTGTTTTTCTTTTTTCCAAATGACATCTATCTCTTTGGTGAATTGCTTATTCACATAATGAATTGTTTTTCTGCTTTCTTCATATGATTTATCTGTTTTCTCTGGTATCTCACTGAGCTTCTTTATTATTTTAAATTCTTTTTCATGCATTTCAGTTTTTTTGTTGTTGGAACTTGCTGCTGGAGAATTATTGTGTTTCTCTGAATGTATCATGTTTTGTTGCTTTTCATGTTTCTTTTTTACTTATGTTTATATTTACTCATCTGTTATAACAGTCACCTCTTTTAATTTTTTGGACTGGCTTTCACAGGTAAAGATTTTTTTCCTGCAGATGTATCTATAGTGTTGGTTGGGTAGGGCACTTTAGCTTTTATTCTGGGTAGATGCAGCAGTGTAATCTCTGTATGATTTTTTTGTGTGTGTGTAGACAGCAGGCTACAATTGTTAGTGGAGGCTATCATGAGGCTTTGCTGGGGATGGGGATACCAAATGGACCTGTCCTAAGGCCTTAGTAGTGGTGGAAGTAGGCCAACATGCCTTTCCTTGGGTTCCCAAGTGCAGTTTTAGCTGGTTCTGGGGGGACAATTATTGGACCTTGAGGTTGCTTGTTTGTGTACCAGCAATGACAGGGATGAGTTGGGTGGATGGGCAGGTTCTTAGGCCCCTGGACAGTATGCAATGGCATCAGCAATTGCAGTAGTGGTTGCAAGTCAACCCTTAGGCTTCCAGTCAGCACACATTAGCTTCAATGGTGGCAGCAATGGGCTGAGTGGGCCAGTCCTCCGGCCATTGTGGGATAGTGCAGGTGGATGCTGGTGGTGGTGGCAACATGCTGGGCAGGCCCATCCTCAGGCCCATGGAAGGTGTGTGTGTATGTAGTGGTGGTAGGCAGGAAATGACAATCCCCATCTATCTATCTGGACAACATGCTTGGGGACGTTGGGGTTTGAGTAGTACATGTGTGGTGGTCTTGTCCTCCGGCCCCTGATGATGTGCTCAGGCACAGGCTGTGGTGGGCAGGGTGGAGTGATTTCTAGGCCCCTCAGATAGATGCTTGGATGCTGGCAGCAGGCAGTCTGTGCCTGTTATGAGGCCCCTTGATGGTGAAGGCACATATCAGAAGTGGCAGGCAGGGCTGGTTGATCCCCAGACCCCCCAGATGGCACATTCAGGGAGTTGAGGGAGCTGTGTCAGGTAGAACCAGCCTGTCTTCAGGTCACTCAATGGTACACACAGGAGCAACCTGTGGTGGCTGTGTTTGGGCATTCTTCAGGCTTCTGTATGACATTGCATGGTTGGATGCTGGCAGTAGGAAGACTGGGCCTGTGTTAGGCCCCCAGATGGTGTTTGCATGTGTCAGATATGACAGGTAAGGCAGGTTGATCCCCAAGGCCCTGAACACTCAGGCACTGTAGGGGGTAGCACAGGGCAGGCTAAGCCTGTTGTCAGGTACCCTGATGGTGCACATGGGCCAGGCTGTGGTGGGCAGAGCAAAGCAATCTCCAGGCACCTAGTGGTGGTGGCAGTGAGCAGAGTAAGCCTGTCCTCAGACCCCAAGATGGCATTTGGGCAGGTCAGTCCCCAGGCTCACTGCAGGCATGTGCAGGTGCATGGCAGCCCCACTACTGGGGGTAAGGGAGAGCAGAGTTGCTGTCAGTGGCCATGGCCTCAGGTTCTGGGAGTGCCCAGTTCAGCTCTTTTTGTCCTGGAGGCAGCTTCTCTAGTGCACTATGCTGCCCCTTTTCTTGGGTGTATGACACTGTGGTCTAGAGTGCTAGGAAGCTGGCCACACTGCTGGGTCTAGCCGGCATTGTGCCACTGTAGTTCTCCAGGCAGTCTTGGGAGGGTGTCAGTGGGGCTCCATGAATGTGGAGATGCAGGGATTGTTGGGTCCCAGGGCAGGATGCAGTCTGGTTGGGGCTGGGCTCTCAAAATGGCATGGTGCTGCAGCCACTTGGGGTTTTTGTTTGTTGGTTTTTGTTTTTGAGACAAAGTCTCATTCTGTTGTTAAGTCTGGCGTGTAGTGGTGCAATTATGGCTCCCTGCAGCCTCGACCTCCCGAACTCAAGCAATCCTCCCACCTCAGCTTTTCAAATAGCTGGGATTACAGGTGCAGACCACCACATCTTATTAATTTTTGTATTTTTTGTAGAGATGGGGTTTCACCATTTGCCCACACTACTCTAAAACTCTTGGGCTCAAGCAATCTGCCCACCTCGGCCTCTCAAAGTGTTGGAATTATAGGGATAAGCCACTGTGCCTGGCCAGCTGCTTGGATTTTGAGGGATATCTGGGACCCAGCACAAACTATCTGTCTTGAACAATGCTGTGATATGGACCTTAGGAAGTTCCCTACTCTAGTCTCAGGGCCTGTGAGGGCTGAGGGGCTTTCCTGTGGCTAGCATTGTAGGAGTCCATGGTGAGAATGTGGACCACTGGAAGTCTCTCACTTACCCTTTTGCTGCGTTTCCTGGCTCCCAGCTGATGCCAGCTGGACCAGCTGCCTTACTTCTATTTCCTTCCATGCCTCAGATGTTCCCTGTTATTTTCCTAATGAATTCCAATGTTCTCTCACAGACACGCTATTTGATGTGTGATTATCTACTTGCTGCTTAGGTCCTTCCTCTAGGAGGAGGTGAGTGCCTGGTACTTCTATCAGCAATCTTGAAGCCACTCCTCTTGTATCAGGTATTTTTAAATGTTGCTGTTTTAACCCTATAATTCTACCTTCAGAAATTTATCATATGGAAATAATCAGAGACAGGACAAAGTATTATAAATGTTTACAAAAAATGAAAATCTGAAATTAATAATCATCGTAAAACTATATGGTAGAATATTTTATAGTTATTAAAATCTATGTTTTTGAAAAATGTTAATGATATTATAAAATGATTATAATTTAATGTCATATACAAATACAAAATTAGACATGATTCTGAATGTAAAAAAGACATGCAAGTAAAATGAACTAACAGTCAACAATGGTAACTGGTTTATAAATTTATAGATGGTTTTGGTTTTCTTCTTTACATTTTGCTGCATTTTCCAAGTTTTCTACAGTGTGTGTGTGTGTATTTAAAGAGTGAATGGGAAATAAAGATTTAGAGACATATATTATTAATTATTCTTTGGACTATCTTGGCTCTTAAACAGAAGAAAGATGAGAGTTATAGTTAGTGAAAATTTTAAAATAAAAGGAAATTTCCTCTCTTTTCCTGTCTCCCCTTTCCTCTCTTCTCCCCATCTTTTTCTTTTTTAATGATAGGAGAGGTTTCTCTACTTTACAGTAAACAGAAAAGAGGATGAAAATACAGAATCGAAAAATAAATTAAGGAGGAAGTTCCCAGAGGAGACAAGAATCAGATAAAGAATGCTGCAAAAAGAATTAGCTTGGAATACATTCACTGAATAAATGAATAAATAAATAAACAGATGAAAAATGCCAATCTGTAAGATGGTTATCTAGCCATCACTGAAAAGGAAAAGGAGAGACGAGTACATTTCTTTTCTGATCAGAGTAACAACATTGGATATAGAGAAATAATTGTTGACTTCATTATTAAATTGATATTGCAAAAACGGTTAATATCTGAACCACACTATTATTCCTAAATACTAATTGTTATAAAAATGAAAGGAGACACAACAGAATAAATTAATTTGTAACTCTTCTTTTTAGCACAAGATTTAATTAGACTCCATTTACAAAAGTTCATTTCATACCAAGAATGTGACTTGGAGAATGCTGGCACTTATCCAGATGATTCTAGAAGCCAAATCCACACTTACTGTTATGGAAGGTAATCTTTTGGTGGTTGGGGTTCTGAGTTTTCCAGATAATTTGCATAAACTAGAAAACTGTTAAATATGTTACTTTTTAAATAGAGACTGAGGTTTCTTTTTTCCTTTTAAAAAATGACATTCAATGGGCACTTATTCTTGATGTTTTAAAATTGTAATTTATTCACGCAAGATTCCAAAAATAGTTACAGCTCCAAAAATTGCTACTCATTTGATTTGTGCATATAGGCTACTAACCTTTAAAAATGTAGCTAAACGTATATTTGATATTTCATATTTTTTCAATTCCTTCTCCTCTAAAGACTTGAAATTTAAATATAAAATAATTAAAGCTACTTAATTGTAAAAATATTCTATTTACTCATTTATTCATTCAACAAATATTTATTGAGCTTCTGTAATGTGCAAGTTTCACAAAGGTAGATGTCATGTTCTTATTCACATACTGATTATTAAGGATAACCCTCATTTAAGTGTACATTTGCAGACTAACAATGAAAAATAGGTAAATCTTTGTAAATTAGTGAATGAGATTGAGAAATAAATGGCTTCATTTGGGAGGTATAGCCAATAGGGCACTGCCTCTGTTGGGTCTCTATGGGGTCCTTTTTCAGCTATGAAAGTCATTAAATGAAAGAATCAAAATAAGCCAAATTTGGAAGTAGATTTGTTAATTGCTGTGTTACAGAGTTTTAAACTAAGATTTTAAAAAATGATATGGTATAGTAGAGCAAATTTTTCTAACATGATATCTTAATGACAATTAGGAATATATGTTTAGTAATAGAATAAATATTGTTATCAAATAAATCTAAAATGTAAAATCTTACCATTTGGATTTTTAATTTTTTGTGTATGCTCTTAATATATGTAATAAATAGGATAGTAATCCATATATAGTCAAATAAATACATGTAAATATTATGTTGGGGAGGTATAATGATGTGGTATAGTTTTAATGAGATGTGTTATCAGTGCCCCTTGAGTGAAACTTCCCCCACAGTGAGCTGATGGAGGCCCATGCCAGTGAAGGTCATGAGGATGGAGGAGAAGGAACAGATATCAGAAATATTTAGAAGGTGAAGGGATAGGACTCGTGATATTCCTCTAAAAATGTGCACTGGATCATGTCTATTATCTGCTCCTTATTAAAATTCTTAGCATAAAGAGAATAGAGTCCAAACAAGGGTTAAGTTCTCAGGGAAGTCTTCCTTGGTTCCTAGGTAAGCATATGGTCCTCTGTTCCTCTCACAGACTCATGCTCCTTTCTGCAAAGCACTTAACTTCACCTGTAACTTGTACATTCACTGGCAAGATCATTTGAATAGTATTGGTCTCTCACTCTAACCCAAGCTTCAGGAAAGACTAGCAGAAGGCCTGGCACTTAGTAAATGTTACTCGAAAGAGTGAATTAATTAGATGTGAAGAGTGAAGGGGATGAGCCAATATACTCCCATCCTTTTAGCTTGAGCAACTGTACCCATGGTGGTGGCATTTCCCAATATGGGGTTTATGGGAACAGAAGAGGGCTTGAGTTGGGAAAAAAAATGCAATGAGTTCAATTTTGGAAATGTTACATTTAAATAAAAAATATTTAACATTTTATTTTAGGAACACATAAATATATAAATAACTATAAATATATATCAACAGAAGACAATCAATTCTAAATCTTGTTAATTACCTTTGTGATTATCAAATAGCTTCATATGCCTAAAATATAACCTTTCAAAATCAAGCACACTGAATATTATGTGGTGTTTCTTATTTTAAGAACAATTATGTAGAATGAAACTTTATTTTAGTAAAGCATGTTACTGCACTCAAATAATGAATAGAATTCTTCCTCCTAAATACTGCCAGCAGAAAAAGAAAATTTTTAAAAATGCTTCTTCCCAAAAGATGCCTTTTTAGAAGAAAACACAAAATCCATGTTTCTGCCAAGCAAGATCTTAACATGACACAGCACCCCAAGAGTATGCCTTGTACATCGTGGGACGATTCTGCTCTGGTCCTTACCTGAGAGCTCATACTATGCATTTGTGACTTGTTTCAGATATTTCTGTCTTCTGATCTTGTTTTCTCATCTGCATCCCCACTTTGCTTGATGCCTTTCATCATTCCTGCTATTGACTGTGTTTCTCTTGGTCTTGGACGAAGATACTTTATCCAGCTATATTGCCTTTGGAAAGTAAGGATTATCACACAGGATCAGAACTAAGGAACAGTCAGCCCTGTATCTTGTTTCTCAAAGTATCTCTAAGGGCTTATGGAAGTGTTACAGCTCTCCTCAAGCCTAGTCATCTGAATATTTAATTTGGACTATCATTTATGAATTTATGTTATACTTGCTTTGGAGAAACATTTTAAACATGCTTTTTACCTTTACTTGACTTATTCCAAAGCCTGTGCTTGTAGATCCTGTGTTATTAGGAAACTTCTTTGTGCATTATTTTTAGGGTGTAGAGTCCCAGAAGTGACACCAATGGCATCTAAGTTCTTTCTACTTATTGCCAAACTGATTTCCAGTAATAATAATTATTAGTGACTGAATACTTAAGATATGTTAATGATTTTTAATGCTTTACATGTATTAACATATATATTTCACAAAGCCTTATGAAGTAGGTATTATTGTTTATTTCCATTTTAAGTATGAAGAAACTGAGGCATAGAGAAGCACCTTGCCCAAGGTAACAAAGCTAATAGGCTGTAGAGCCAAGATTAGAGCTCAGCAAATCTGGCACTGGAGCCCACATTCTTAACCCCTAAATTGGCTACCTCACAAAAAGTCATACCAATTTATATTGCCACCATCAGTAAATACAAATGCCATACTCCATTTTGGAACACTTCTACTTTTTAATTAACACATCCTTATAGATTTAAAACTTATCTTTCCCACCTTAAAGTTAAGATTGAGAGTTGAAGTGGAGGCCTAACTATTCTTTAATACCTTCTTTCTCCTCATTTTCACAGTCGGAGAAATGGGAGTAGAGATGTGGGCTTAATAGCTGTTTCAGCATGAAGTGAACATAATAGAATACTTCGTGCCTATAAACTTGGACTTTGAAATGTCATTGCCCATTTTTATTCCTACAAAGTGTGCAAAATAATAAGAGATACCATTTATTGGGCACTTATTATATACCAACCATTGTGCTTAGGTACTCTGTGGGCACTGAGTCATTTGATCAACAGATGGGTATCTGTATTAGTCCATTCTTGCATTGCTATTTTAAAAAGCCTGAGACTGGGTAATTTATAAAGAAAATAAGTTTAACTGGCTCACAGGTCTGCAGGCTGTACAGGAAACATGGCAGCATCTGCTTCTGAAAAAGCCTCAGGAAGCTTTAACTCATAGCAGGAGGCAAAGCAGGATCAGGCACTTCACATGGTGAAAGCAGAAGCCAGAGAGTGAGAACAGATTGCTGGAGAACTCACTATCATGAGGAAAGCACACAAGGGGATGGTGCTAAACCATGAATCAGAAAGCCGCCCCCATGATCCAATCACCTCCCAGGAGGCCCTACCTCCAGCATTAGGAATTACATTTCAATATGAGATTTGGGTGGGGATACACATAAACTCCACTCCCAGCTTACCTAACAGATAAAAAATAAATAAGTGACCTTACAAATATGACTCAGGCCAAAATCAGAGACAGCAGAATTTTTAAAGAGTCTCAGGCTGGGCATGGTGGTTCAGGTCTATAATCCTAGCATTTTGGGAGGCCAAGGTGGGAGGATGGCTTGAGGCCAGGAGGTTGAGAACAGTCTAGGAAACAAAGTGAGAATCTGTTTCTAAAATAATAGAATAAAAAATAGCCAGTCATAGTGACACGTACCTGTAGTCCCAGCTACTCAGGAAGCTGAAGTGGGAGGATCTCCCGATTCCAGAAATTTGAGGCTGCAGTGAGCTATTATGATTGGACCACTGCACTCCAACCTGGAGAACAGAATGAAATACTGTCTCTAAAAGTAATTAACTAATAAGATAATAAAAAATAATTTTGTTCTTGGATCTTAATTTAACTTCAGTTTAGAATCAGTGGGGGTATTTGATCTCTTGCCAGAACCAATTATCAATCTGGTGAGGCAGAATGTTCATTTCAATGATGGAAGAGGTGACAGTAGCCCACGACACAGTGCTACCTGCCAAGGAGCATTAGGGTGCACAGCGCCATGTATCTGCATAAGGCTGGCCAAGACAATTTGGGAGCTCTTTTCATTGCAAATGTACGTTTTGCTCTGGCTGCTTTGCTAAATTCTAGTGTCAAAATATTGTCATCGATGGATGAGATTCAGAGAACATTAAGGATGATAAAAAGAGTTAATCAGGCAAAGAAATCTGAAAGTCAAGGAAAACCAATAATCTTAAAGACCATTTGTTGCTTAGAGTAGACTCTATAAACAGGAATAAAAGACTGCAGAATAAACAATTTATTTTCTAGTGAGACTGGATTTGTTCACCAAACGGCTGTACTGTTTCTGTTACAAGTAGGAGATATGTAGGACACTTGTTTTGAGATAACCTCACCAGCTGACTTTCCTACTTTTTCATCATTGTTAAAAATCAGATTTTCCAATGACAGTCCTTTACAGATTTTTAAAAAACACTATATTCAGAAAATAGTTTTGATCTTATTACCCAAAAATTCTTGTACAAGAATACTGCTGGTATCAAGCCAGATGTATTTGGAAAGCTTTGAAAACCCATGCAGGAAAGCACATAGTCTCTGTAACCGCACAGCTGGTGGTGGCCCCTTCTTCAGCTGTCCTACTGGGAAACCCAGGTGGAGCGCAAGTGCAACGCAGGTGAGTACAGGGTGAAGCTGGGATAAGAGCAGATGTGGCTTTAAGTTCAGGCTGAATCCTCTTTGGGGTATCACTGATCTTTCTTCACAAAGCTGCCCCACCTTCTTGGAACCAAAAAAAAAAAAAAAAAAAAAAAAAAGAGCTACTGGGTTACCAGAAAACTCCCAGTTGACCTAAAGTTACCCAATTCTCCTTTCATAGTACAAATTCTTTCCCTAGCCCCATTTTCAGAGCATATACAGAATTTCTCAGTTCCGTACGGCAGCCTGCAATCAAACCTGGTAATGTGTCCTAAATACCTTAAAAACATATTGAGAAATCTATTCAAATAGGAAAGGTCCACAAACAACATTAGATACTATCAACAAGGCCCTTGGACCTCATAAGGCTATTATTGAGAAAACTAACTCCCTGGTCTCTACTGAAGCAGGACAGTGGTTCCCATTCAGAGGCAGAGTGGCCCGAGACCCTTTCCACCTGCTAGCCCTCCAAAGATGGTTATTCCAGAATCAGGGAACATTTTAGATCCAGCCACAGAAAACTAGCTTAGCAGTAAGCTCTGGATGCAAGATTTGGATGTGCCAATTAGAGCTGTGTGGACTTAGGATAAATTCTCTAACCTTTGAGTCAGGGATTAGGATAGTCTGCACTATTAGGAATGTCATGAGAATTAAACGAGAGACCATCTGTGGAGTGCTTAACCTGCTGCTTGTCTCTCAGTAAGCACAAGGTGAATAGAGGAATCATCCAGACATCCCATGCCTCAATTTAAGACCACAGTAGCCTCCATGTTGATGTTTACTCTGGTTCTAGGTTGTCAGCTAAAATCCAGGGGAGGGGGAAGATCCTTCAAACTCTAGGCCCAAGAATGTCCCATTGCAAATGGTTGTAGCACCACTGTAAAGACTGAGAAGGGATTTTGAATTCAGACCTGAATGGGAATCACTTCTCCTTCACTAATTGTTGTCTTAGGTGAACATGGCCAGTTCAACCTTTTAACTTGTTTGCTTATTTATACAAGGAGGATAATACCTAATTAAGGGGTTGAAAGGTTTACCATGTAAAGTCCTTAGCACAATAGCTACCATATCATAGGAGATCAGTTCATAACTACTGAATCCAACTGAAAAAGTGCTAAATAACTGCAGTCTTTTTTGTATATAGAAACAAGCAAGTAAGTTAAAACTGGGACCAAAAGATAAACTTGGATCAGATAATTTTCGAACACCGATGAATACACACATTCTGCCTTTAAAAAGGTAAATGTTCCAACAAGCCTATTAAGCTATCGCTCACAGTTCATCTACTTCACCTATTCAGATTTCTTACCCTATTCATAAGAATTGTGCCAGGTAAGGTGCACATTACTTAAAATCATTAATTTTACACTAAATTAACTTCCTCCAATAAGGTAGAAAAAACCAACTTTTTGATAACCTATAGAATACTGCTATGTTGTGTGTACTTTCTTCTCTCCCCACCTTTTTTTTTTCCTCTAAATTTAGAAAACAGGATTAGGACAAAAGCTAAGCAGGCCAGGGAAGCAGGAAGTGTCAGAGGAAGAAATTGAATGCAGGTGTGTCTGAGCTAGGCTACCTGTGTTTTTGCCCTTTCTGTTTGCTGTGAACTTTCAGTTTCTCAGGATTACTCAAGAGCATGCCTTTTAAAGAGGATTCTCAGGAAGCCACTGTTGAACTAATAAAGGCCATTTACTGCCATTCGAAGGGAATAACAGGTTTAGTCCGTGATGAGTTTCAAATTAGGTTATCAATTTGCTTTTCCAGTGGTGATGAAAAAGTAAAATTCATTCCAATACAGTGACTACTCTCTGCTTGAAACGCTCCAGGTAGTTACTTTTTGAATTATGATTCACCTTCCTTTTCCTGTTTTGATGAACATGAACATGAGACTGAACCATCCCGGTCAGTAAAAAGGTCGCGTTTCCACCCCGCAAATTCGCTCTATAATGACAGTCTAATTGGCTAAAGCGCAGGTGGGATTTCCTGTCGCCATTTTAAGAAGACACAACTCCTATGTAAAGAAATGCCCAGCCAGTGAAAGGGGGCTGTGTCTGAAACAAAGAGTAAGCGGAAAAAAAAGGGAACCAGACCCAGTTCCCCCCGCTCCCCTCCATCCCGCTCCCTCGTTCCCCGGACTTGAAGTGCCCCAGCTCCGTTAACCTGGACGCGCCAGGTCCTTCGGGCGGAACCAAGTGGGGTCACCAGGCCCTCCAAGACCTAGCCCCCTCCTCTTCGCGCCTAGACAGGTTCTCTCTCGGCGCACAACAAATCCTCCTAGTCGCTTCACACTCAGTGCCCAAAGCAGAGCTCCACAGGGCAGACCTCAGGGAGGGCTCGCCAGGTCTGCGGGTGCTGGATCCGGAAGGGGGGGGGGTGCCTCCCTTTCAGGTTAGGGACAAAGGGTTTCCAAAGGTGCCCGAGCTCCGGGCTCCCCCTGCCACTTCGGTCCCCTTCCCGCCAACCCCTGCCATCTGCGGGCCGTCCCCAGCGCCAACCCTCCGCTCCAACGCTACGCGTAGTCCCGGGCGCTGCCGGCGGCTCTCGGGGCTGCGCTCGGACCCGCCACTCTGGCGGCCATCCTCCTGCAGCTCCCCTTCCCACAATGCAACTCCCTCGCTCCTTCGGCCCCGGCGGGGCTCTGGAGTACCCAAAACGCAGGCCCCAGCCTAACGTACAGCCATCCTGTCTTCCACCAGTGTCCCTTTAGAGGCCGCACCCCTATCCCTAAGGGCTCGCATTTTCCAGCTGCCGCCACAGCTGGGTTCCGAGCACGCCGCCGGGCCCTAGGAGGGCGAGGGCAGGCGCCAGGCAGCGCGCAGCGTCCTCTCCCAGTGCCACCTTCCGTGCGCCCAGCACACGCGCGCCCCGCAACCCCTCCCTCACCCTTTCCCCGATGCTCAGTCTCCGCCAGCCGCGGTCGCTGCATCGTCAGTGAGCGGCGAGAGGCAGGCAGCAAGGCGCGGCCGCCAGCAGTGACACCATGTGACGGGTACGGCTCAGTGACACACAGCTTTGGTTAAAGAGCGGGCGCACAGGAGGGGAGGAGACGGCGCGCGGGACGGGGAGGAATGGCCTGACTGTCCCTGTTCAACCATCACAAGCCATGGTTGCGGAAGGGCGACGTGCCCCCCAGTAGGAGAATGACTCCGATTCGTGACCCTCAGCGCCCGTGCTTGTCGCTGTAAGTGCGGGGCCGGAGAGTAGGGTGTGAGTGGGGGTTGCTGGTGAGGGGAGATTCTGATGCAATCGGCCCGGAAAGGAGGAGGAGAGCCTGGCGAGAGCGGACTGGAGCAGCCACGACACTCCGCCTGAAGGTCGCCAGGAGCCTCCGCCCTTCACCTTCCTCGGAAATCCGCCAGGCCACGCCAAACTCCCTGCCCAGCCTTTACCGACTGGGGCCACCGTTTCCCGGCCGCCGTCACCAGACCTTGACACAAAGGACATCAAACTGCTGAGGGTGAAAATCCCGGAAGGGCGGACACCTTCACATCGCCTTTCGCCACCTTTCCCCTTATTTCCGGAGGTAAGGTGCTTTTCAGTTCCTGGGGAGGGCTGGGCGAGCGGCGGGGGGATGTTGAGATGTGGGAGAAGGCGGTAACGTAGAAATCATCCCTGCGGGCGTGAAAGCAGAGAAAGCACGGCTGTGCCCGAAGCGTTTGGATGTTGCTTTTAGGAGAAGAAAAGTCCAGGTCCCCTGTGTTTCCTGAACGCACGCGGTAGCGCGAGGAAGCGCCAGGGTCCGTGAGTTCACCTTTGCGTGGGCTGTGGCTTACTTTTTGGTTTATTTTCCTCTGGCTTTGGTCTGTTTCCCCGTGGCTGTGGCAGCGTGTGGGACTAAATCTGGTTCAATTTTTACAAGGGCCAGGAACGACGCAGGTCTGTAGCGAGAGCGCAGCTTACTCGAAGGCGCGACCGTGTTCTAGGAGTGTTTGAATCCCTAACCTTTGGGGGAAAAAATTCCTGTGTCCGCAAGGCCCAGAGGACAGTGTGTGATGTCCCAGGGGTGCTGTGTGCGGCCGGCTGGGTAGCCGCCGCGGAGCACCAGTAAACCGGAGCACGTTTGCCATCCCTCCTGGTGCTCTGCCCCTCTGTAACGCGGGGAAATAGGAGGGCGCGGGGAGAAATTACTAAGGGATGCTTGCAGTGACTCATTGTCCTTTCCTGCCCTGAAGAGGTTTTTTTCTAAAATGCAGAGCGTGGCAGCGGATAGGGGTAGTGTTTTTTTCCGAGAGCCGGAGTCTGCTGGAGCCAGCGAACAAAAGGCCACTTCTTGCGCGGGCTTGGTCTCAGACTGTGCTCGCTTCTAGTCCCACCTCCTCCCCAACCCCCGTCACCTAGCTAGCGTCCCTAAACATTGCCACAGAGGCCTTTAAACGCGTGGGTAGGTGTTGGGAGGAGAGCGCACCTGCGCCCTTGTGCGAGCTCCTCGCCCCCTAAATTATCTACCTCCCTGCGCAGGGGGCTCCTCAGCACCCACTGGGACCCTGCAGGTTACCGGGCTGCCTGGGCACCGAAATCCCTGCCAAATCGCCTGCCGGGGGTTTGTGCTGAACTGTAGTCAGAGAAGGCACATGTGCATATGGCAGCAAAAGGAATTTCGCGGTATCCGCGTCACGCCGTTCCCAGTGCATTTCACAGGCTGCCTTGGTCTGGGGAAGGTGGTGCTACAATTGAGAGTCCTTTGTCTTGCTCTGCGGCGCTGACCCGGGGTTTTAACAACCCTCTTTTTCCGTTAGAAACCTAACTGCTGCCAGGATCACGTACTTTCTCAGAGGAATCCACGGTGATGTGTGTAGTAAAAGTGAAAAAAGACGCCTCTGCTAGAAAACGGTATTCATTTGCGTTTGGAAGGGGTTTTGACATCGCTGCCGTGGGTTTTTACATTTTTCAATATAAAGGGGAGGAGGAAAATAAATTTATGGTTTGCAGAATGCACGGCCCAGCGAGGGTGTAATTTGTCACCTTGATAAAAGAAACTGTGCAGCAACTCGTGCTTTTTCTGACGTCAGAAGGACAACGGAAATAAAACCTGAGCTCGGTTCATGGCTGGCCTCATTGTCAAACATCTCATGCCCCTTTGGTACTCCCGAAATCTTGCAAAAGTCAATTCCGGGGTACTGATCTGGCATAGACCCCGTGGATTTTGGTTTGACCCCAGCCTCAAAATAGCCTTCTCTTTAGAGTCACTTGAGTTCTCAGTATGTCGTAAGCAAATGGAAACCAGCCTAGTTTGGTTTGAGATCTTAATCTTGAGGTTTATTTGCTTTTTTAAAAAATGTAGCCAATAAACATTTTCTACAGAGGGCTTAGGGTATGACTGGCAGCTACTAATAAGATTTGTTTCGTCTTCTGTGAAGCTTCCGTTCTCGGGGAGAAATAGACTATATAAATGTAGGCATATAAATTTCAGGTATTCTTAGTGCAATGAAGAAATAAAACCGGATCATGTGATGGGGTGGGATGCCTGAAATAGAGTGACTCACCAGGAAGGCCAGTGTGAGGGGATAACATTTGTCCTGAGACCCGAATGGTGAAAAGGGATCAGCTATTTCCATAATTGAGGGAAGAAGGCCAGCAGAAGGAAAAGGAAGAAGGAAAAACAAGTACTTACTGCACTCTTCTTTGACTGTAATATAATTGAGCTAATGTGATGAATAGATTTTAAAGATGTTTTGGATTCTTTAAAACTATATGTATGTTGTTTACATATATATTTTTACGATGCTCCATGAATTAAGGCCATTTAATGAAAGGAGCACCATGCTTAGGAGGTCTGACATCTGGCTGTTGCTACTATCTTCTTTACTCTGGGTGATGCCTGAGGACAAAAACTGATTTTACTCATTGTTCCCCTAATCCAGCACATAGTAGCTGCTTAATAAATACTTGTTGGATTGAGAACTTGGTCAAGCCATTTTGTTTATCTCTTTATGCTATTATTGACCATCCCTTCCTTTCTATATCTCATCTGTTCGCTTCTCCTAAGTTTGACATGCTAGAGTCTTTTTCTTCTCTGCTTCTCCCTTCTCTTACTGCCTTCCCCACTTTGAGCAGTGACCAGGCCCTTGCAAATACCCCTCACACTTGTCCTCTTGTCTCCATTTCTGCTGCCCAAGTTCAAGTCCCTGTCACCTGACCTAGATTTGTAGACATAGGAAACAGATATAGAGGTGCCTTGAACAATCTAGGGGCAGTGGGGGTGGGCAATGGAGAAAGATGCAAGCACAACGCATGGTTAACAGTGAAACAGCCAGTTACTGAGGTGGAGCTGCATCCCTGTTGGTCTCTTTCATACCAAGTTGTGCTCCCCTAATTCAATCTCCCTTTCATGAGATTTATATTTCTAAAATTCAGTCACATTTTGTTAAAGGATCTTGCTTCTAAAAACCTCTGTGGGTTTCCATTGCACACAAGGTCTAAATTCCTTAGCCATACACTTGGGAACCTTCACAATCTGCCTCCTCACCTCTTTCCAACCTTTTTTTTTTTTTTTCCCATTTATTTATTTTATTGCATTTTAGGTTTTGGGGTACATATGGAGAACATGCAAAATTGTTGCATAGGTACACACGTGGCAGTGTGATTTGCTGCCTTCCTCCCCATCACCTACATCTGGCATCTCTCCCCTTGCTATCTCTCCCCAGCTCCCCACCCCCCACCGTCCCTCCCCTATTTCCCCCCAACTGACCCCAGTGTGTAGTGCTCCCCTCCCTGTGTCCATGTGTTCTCATTGTTCAAAACCCGCCTATGAGTGAGAACATGTGGTGTTTGATCTTCTGCTCTTCTGTCAGTTTGCTGAGAATGATGGTTTCCAGGTTCATCCATGTCCCTACAAAGGACACAAACTCATCGTTTTTGATGGCTGCATAATATTCTATGGTGTATATGTGCCACATTTTCCCTATCCAGTCTATCGATGGCGATCATTAAAAAATCTGGAGACAACAGATGCTGGAGAGGATGTGGAGAAATAGGAACACTTTTGCACTGTTGGTGGGAGTGTAAATTAGTTCAACCATTGTGGAAGACAGTGTGGCGATTCCTCAAGGACCTAGAAATAGAAATTCCATTTGACCCAGCAATCCCATTACTGGGTATATATCCAAAGGATTACAAATCGTTCTACTATAAGGACACGTGCACACGAATATTCATGGCAGCACTGTTTACAATATCAACTTTTTCTCTTGACATGTTCTTTCTCACAGTTTACCCTATTTCCTCCTTATCACTTTTTTGCTTCAACATCTGCATGGATTGGATTCCAGTTGGGAATGCCTACTGGAATCCTGTATACTTGTGATGGCCTATACCTGATGCCACTTTTCCACCTCTTGGGAGAAGTATTCACTGATCACCTCATTGGCATTTTCGTAAGATTTGTTTATCCTTCACATCTTGCACTGTTGTTACTCCAGATGATGGAAGGTGGTGAATAAGGACTTAGACTCTGAGTCAAATGTAAATATCAGGCCTCAATTTACTCACCCAGGAACCTTGGGTAAGGTGTTTGGCATCTCTAAGCCTCAGTTTTTTTCATTTGTTAAATGAGATTGATGATGATGGTGGTTGGTGGTACCCATTTTGTTGAGTTATGGTAAGGATTTAGTTAAGATGATGGATGTGACGTATTTGGTACAGTGTTAGCATTCCGTATATATTGAATTAAACAAGACTCATCTATCAGAGGAGGGAAAGTTGATCAGTAAAATTCCCTTTACCTCTGAAATTCTATGACTATGTAATCTTTTAAAAATACTTTTCTGAAAATAATATCTTAATGGAAACTACCTGAATCTTTTTAGTCTCTGGGAAAATATACATCTATGGAAGGTGGTGAGGAGGTGGGGGAAGTATGTATGCAGAAGTACTTTGAAAAACCTGTGATAGACTTCAGAAAAAGATATCTTGTATGCAGAGGCATACAGAGTAATATAACGGACTGTGGAGACTCAGAAAGGGGAGGTTGGAGGGAGGATGCAAGATAAAAAGCTACGTATTGGGTACAATGTTTACTACTCGGGTGAGAAGTGCAC